GAACAGTCGTGGGCGGGGTGGATCACCCGCAAGTTACAGAGGACGAGGCGGATACAACAGGGGCGGATATGGAAATGTATACGGCCCGCCACCAAATGGTCGTGGCGGGTACGGACCTCCAGGTCGAGGCGCCTATGGTCCGGGGTCAAACGGAAGAGGGGGCCACGGGCCTAGAGGAGGCTCTCGCGGAGGGCCAAGAGGCGGAAGAGGTCCACCACCGCCAGGCTATCCCGGTGTTGCGATGGCGTATGACCGGAGACCTTCTGCAGGATCCCAAGGCGGCTACGGACCGGACCGACAAATGACCGCCGACCATCCGACTGGACCATATGATGCAAACCCCAGTATGACAACAGTCGGGACGAACGGCACTGGCTACGCAGCATATCGCCCTGGCCGGGCTGATGACTTGCCGCGTGCTGAGTCTCCCCCTCCCCTACCAGGTATCGAATTACCCATTGGCCAAGCTGTGGAGATGGACGAGAGGACGGGCAGTCCCGCTCACTCACCCGCAGGATTTGGCCAGTTTAACAACAACCCAAGCAACAACATCAGAGACAGCGATACGGACGTTGCGGGCATGTTGGCTCTGCAGGAAGCCAGAATTCCTTCGGCTCAGAGGGAGGAACATTTGAGCGAGGGAAGCAAGTACAGCCAGGACACGTGAGTAGTGACATCATGATCGAAGTAATATGTATCCTAACCTTGTTCTACAGGCCATATGTACCTGCTCGACAGGCATGGAACCAGGGACCAGGACGAGCGTCGCCGAGTGTCCCATCGCCCCTACATAGTTCACAGCGTCCCCAAGAGCTCACAGGCGCAACCCCGCCACCTCCCGTAATTAATGGCGGGAACTACTACGAGGATGTCGACCCGCGGTTCGCCGAGCCAGCACCTAGACCTCACCAGCCGCTGGCTGACGATCTTCACCTAGCACCAGGCGCTCGCAGCCCCACGGTGTCGGAGCGGTCAGGATTTACCTCTGTTTCGCAACGAGGTGTGAACCCGCGGTGGAATCCGCCTCCAGGCCAGGGATTCGGACAGCAAATGATGCCGCCTCGGCGGCCTGTGAATCGTAATGAGCCGGGTGTCAGCATCCTGAACAGCAACCCGGATTTCGAGCTCCCGACGCGCCGGGCGCCAGGCGCGGGGACTCCTGCTCGGGGTGGAACCGGTGGAGGAATGATTCCTGATTCGGCATATCCAGGTATATAACGACTGCCTCATCATCTGGGATGCAGATGTTTTTATATTCAGTTTGGGCAAATTGTTGGAAGTGGACGAACTTTACAGCCATGAGACCACGCACCCTTTTTCATCAGGGGCAAGATTTGGAGCTGTGATGTCGAAACGATCGCTGCCGAAATTATTGCCTTCATCTTCACAACCTCTTCGATATACCCATTTTCAGAACAGCGCCTCGATTCTTCCACCCACCCTTCTCTTCTCCCCGGGCGCTGGCTGTTGTGCTTTATGTCCGATGGACCTTCCGTGCACAGTAGCAATCAATAATTGGCCGTCCTCGACATTTCTTTGCCATCGATGGACAGGCACTCGACGTATAAAACTCTTCCTTCTACTTGGTCACGGTGTTGGTGCATGAAACGCACGGGTGTAAGATGCAGATGAATGTAGGCACGCTGCCATGGGGTCCCGACCCGTCAGCAGACGGATACGTGCTTGGGGATGTGGGATGAGGATAGTAGAGTCGTTGGAGTGAGAGGCTGAATAGGCTAGTAGGTAAAGTCGGCTCCGCGGCCGATGCTACGGCGCGTGACGTGGTGGTAATGACAGATTTGCAGATCCGGGGCATATAGTAACCATAGTCCTGCAAACTCAAGGAAGATATCCAACGCTCTCCTTGTCAAACAAGCAATAAGAAAGTCAAAAACCGCGATAGTTCACAAGACAGTCCTACTGATTTGGAATTTCATTCATTGATGTAGACTCGAGCCCATATGTACTCACTCACGGGATACGCGATTCTAGTTTGATCGTAGCCTAGGCTGGTAAGAAATGGGTGTTACACGGCGCTTCATTGAGACTTAAGCCCGCAGCATGCTATGGCAACAGTGAGAGGTCATGATGCTAACCTACCTTACATAAATGAGCTGGTGACTAGGAGGGAAGAGTGGTGTTCAGAAGGGGTGTGAGGATCGAGAAATATCTCATTCGCGCCATGACGGGCCAGATTCACAAAGTTGAAGAAATTGCCGAAGTAATACGGACTTAATGCCAATACTACAGGACGGGCATTTGCGGACCCGAGACAAGCCGCACTTGAGAAATCGGGCTAACTCTATGAGCCGAAGAAATATGACCTTGATGAATCATACTCGCGAATGCGACACTCTCATGAGTTTTTCGCCTCGTGTTTGTTGATTCCTACGGTCAACCAAACATTGTACTTCCTGTTCTTTCACCCACTTGACGGTTCGAGGCTGTTCGCTCTGGCTGGAGGTTTTCCTTGTATGACGTCGACCATAGGATCTCGTCTCAGCATAATGCGCTAGCCTGACAGCGTCTGTCCCACACGCCTTTCACACACTCGCGACCTTACCTGCGGTATCTGCAACCCGAGGCCGGACGTTTCGCCTCCTAATCCTTATTCTCGTTGCCATCCGCAAGGAAATACAGAATCAGATGCTTCGCGCGCCAATAACGACGTGCTGCGCTGCTCGGTCAACATGGCAGCGCACCAGCAATACCGGCCGTCCCTACCGACTCCCTAGATCGATCGTCAAACCCTCGCTCGCTCGATCCCTCACACAGTCCGCACCACGCCGCCAATTCATAAACGCAAACGACCGACCCTTCCGCCCCCTCACACCGCCCTCCCCGTCCTCCCTCGGCAAGCCCAAGACAGCGCGCGATTTCAAGCGCAGTCGCCGCTGGGGCCGACGATTACTCATCCTCGGTCTGACGATGGGAACGCTCTACATCCTCGACGACCAACTATTCGCCTCGGGCGTCGCGCGCTCGTTGAGAACGTTCGGGAACGGACTGTATGTCGCGCTGGATTACAAGATAAATTTCCGCGCCGAGCCGTGGTGGGGGGAGACGATAACGGACTTACATCGGCGGTCCGCGGAACGGCTTTTCGATCTGCTGCGTGCGAATGGTGGGCTTTATTTGAAGATCGGGCAGGCGATCGCTATGCAGTCTGCTGTCCTGCCTCCCGAGTTCCAGCGCATGTTTGCGCGCATGTTCGATGATGCGCCGCAAGACGAGTGGAAGGACGTCGAGAAGGTTATAAGGCAGGAGTTTGGCGGGAGGAGTGTGGAGGAGGTCTTTGGTGTTTCGTTTACCGGAGAGGAGGGAAAAGGGCTGATGGAGAGGAGGGCGAGAGCCTCCGCCAGTGTCGCACAGGTCCATTGGGCGAGGCTGCCGGATGGGAGAGAAGTCGCTATCAAGATCCAGAAACCCGAGATTGCGAAACAGGTCGGCTGGGATTTGTGGGCGTTCAAGGTCGTTATGAAGGTGTATACTTGGTGGTTTGATTTGCCGCTTTATGGTATTGTGCCCTTCATCACGGAAAGACTGCTGCTCGAGACGGACTTTGAGAGTGAGGCGAGGAACAGCGAGGTTATGCGGAAGCTGGTCGATAATGAACCCGCGCTGAAGGGGCGAGTGTATATCCCGAAGGTTTACGACGAGTTCACGAGTAAGAGGGTTCTCGTTACTGAGTGGATTGAGGGTGTGAGGCTGTGGGATAAGAGTGCGACTGGTGGTAGGTGGTTGGGTGGCCATGGAAAGGGGAGTGCCGGTGTGCATGGGCAGAAGCTGGTGTTCACCGCGGCAGATATGGATGCGGCAAAGCGAGAACTACGGCAAAACACCTTTACGGAAAGGCTGAAGCCCGATCGCGAGTCCTGGAAAGGTCGTAACGGGAAAGGAGGCCTTGGTCTCACGGGCAAGGACGTCATGACCACGATGGTTGATTTATTCTCCGCGCAGATCTTCAAATGGGGTGTCGTCCACTGCGATCCGCATCCCGGTAACATCTTCATCCGACGATTGCCCTCCGGCAAACCCGAACTCGTCCTCATCGACCACGGCCTCTACGTCTACATGGAGCCCAAATTCCGCCAGCAATACGCGTTGTTCTGGAAGAGTCTCATGACATTCGATAACGCCACCATAGCCGAAGTCACGGAACAGTGGGGGATCAAAGCACCCGATCTGTTCGCCTCCGCAACGCTCTTGCGACCCTACGAAGGAGGAGATGGATCAACGAAAGAGAACCTTACCAAAGAACTCTCCGGGAAGACACAGCAGGATCGACACTACGAGATGCAGCAGCGCATGAAGCAGGGTGTGCGAGATGTTCTGGCGGATGAGGATAAATGGCCTAAGGAACTTGTCTTCATCGGGAGGAATATGCGGATAGTCCAGGGTAACAACCAGTTCATGGGAAGCCCCGTCAACAGGATTAAGATGATGGGCAATTGGGCGAGCGCATCTCTGTACCAAGATCCGAACAGACCCTTCCGGGAGAGGATTTTGCACGCGTGGAGGCATGTACTCTTCAAGGGCGTGCTGTTTGCGTCCGACATCGTTTTCTATACATTCAAGATTAGACAGTGGCTAGGTTGGGGCGGCGGCATGGAGGATGAGGTTGAGAAGAGGATGGCGGTCATGGCTAAGGACTTTGGGGTTGAGCTGCAGCATGAGGTCTTTGATGGTTAGGCAGGAGGCTGGCATGAGACGAAGGGAGTGGCTATTATGTGAGACAAGGTTGGAAGTGATGATACCACTGTATTTTGAAAATGAAAGGATAGAACAAGGCGCAACATAGACGGTTAGATGTGGATACGCAACTCAAACCAGACAGGAGGCTAACATGCTTTGTGTATTACTTGTACGTAAAAGCTTACTATCGCCAATGAACCCTTGGTGGGCAAGTTTGATGTGCATTTGCTTGCATGGTAGTTTCGAGTGAAAAAAAGAAAAAGAAAAAACAACTCGGAAAAGCGGAAAGATTGACAAAACTAAATTCTCCCGAGTGTGATTCGAACACACGACCTGTGGATATCATAATTGCAATTACAGTCCAACGCGCTACCAACTGTGCCATCAGGAGTTGTTAAAGATTAGTCGCAAATTAGGACCTATAATGCGCAAGACTGGCACTGTGTTACAAACACATCTGATCACAGGTCGCAAGGTCATATCATGCCATCGCGCATTTTAGAGTTGGGCCATGTTTAAGCTCATTAACCATCTTCGGCCAGTGTTGTTGTTCAAGCGGCCGGCGGGGCTCTTACGGCCGGAACGCCACCATCTGGCCAGGTGCTTTACTTTATGTGATGATACTACTATATATACCTTCCGGTACGAGATGATCTGGTTCAATTGACTGGTGTACTGGAAAATGGCCATGAAGGGTGACTGGTATCTGCAATGTTTCCTGGTGAGACGGTGATATTTTCGGTATCAATGCTCTTGCTCCGACACTGGTTACCACCTGCCCCAACCGTATCGCGTACTCTGTGTCCTGTTACGTTAATACTATTGATTGCACATGAGATTGCTAAAAACTCTCTAGATCACATTCCTTGCCTCTCGTTGGTAGCTCAACAGCTGACAGCGGAATCTCCTGTGATCGCACGAAACTCCCCTCAGATCAGCCTCTGCGCTGCATACGGCGAAGCATTGTGTATTTACAGTCCAGCTGCACGACATAACCTTTTTTCTTTGAGGGAATGAGCTGATGCCTCTTATCAATAGTTGGCTTCTTACGTTTCTGCCCTCGCCTCTGACAATTATGTGTGTCTATTATACTACTAATTTACAATATTTCCAACCTCTTAATTTGGCTTCAGCTGGACAGCGAACATTGCTGCATGATGAGTGCGAAAGACCTGCGAAAGATCAATCTTCGCGGTGCACAGTCTCAGAAGTATGGGAAGGATCAACATGTGTAGATTGCTTTCGCGTTATTTGCACCGTGCATGAGCAGAATGAATGTTGATTGTCTAAGGTATCGAAACAAGCGTACGGTGATCCAAGACATGAAACCCCTTCACCTTGTTATCTAGGTAAGAACCTAAGCAAGGATTTCAGGCTTCTTGAATCCATAAGCCAACAGGAAGAAAATAAACAACAACCCTTTAGAGTGCAATGATTCCCCCAAACCAGCCGACGCAGCAGCCACCCTTCACACCCCTAGACATCCTCACACATCTCGCAATGGAGCCTACTCTTAAGACCTGTCCAGCTCCGGAAACCCTCGCTCAACTCCGTTCTCATAGTGACATGAACATGGCTTGAGGCTCATCGTGTCTTCCAGTTGGTGATCAATCAGTATCATCGTGACCAGAAATGGCATGCAGTTGATCGAGATGCTCCATGAGTGAGTTGGCGGCAGCTGCGTAATGGGCCTTAGTGTCCCTGAAAGTCGTTATCCATTTCTCCCAGTCTCCCAAGTCTTCCGGGAACCAAGTTTCCCATTCATCAAAGTTTTGATAGTTGAAAACGGTATCAATGCCGAAAAGTTTATCGGTCTTGACGCAGACAGCTTGCTGTCGAAGTCCGATCTCTCTCGTGCTCTCTCTGATATAAGCAATCCAGGCATTCTTCTGATCATTGCTGTACGTCTGTGGCGCACTTGAACTCTCGTGACCCTGCAAGGTAGCAATAACATTCTCGAGGTGCCTGCTTAGTGTCGAACATTGAGTAAGGTATTCTACTGCGCCCTCGTATATCGTCTTTCTCAAATTTTCATCGAGTCCTCGAATGTCTTTCATTGCTTCTGGGTATTTGTTGATGACATGCTGAGTGTAGCGCTCCAAATGGCCCTGGTCCATTGCTCCAAGATTGACATCACTTCTCTTGCGCTGAGTCACATGCGCAAACAAACGGCTGATGATGAACATTCCGATTTGATCTTTGCTGTTCGTCAATTTATCCTTGAGCAGACCATACTCGCCCGTTGGTGATATAGGGAACGCTCTGAACGATATGCGTTCGCTTGACCCAGAGCTTGCCATGATGTCAGGGCGTTGTGCGCGCTCCAGCTAAGACGTAATAGTGTGAGTATATGTTGGGGGCGAGTACTCGTGACGATTATGCAGAATAGTCCATGTCAATGAACTGCGGTGAATCAGATGAGAAAAGAAGAGACCAAGTTGGTGTGGTGTACGCGGGGATTTAAACCTAACGTGAGAAAGATGCTTAAAACATTCTTGCTCAGTCCGCGTCTACTGACCTACATACCAAGTTTCAACTCGAACAAAGAACATAGAGCGTACCAGTGGCGATTCCGTGTGACCTGCCGCCATAGAGATCACACCTACATTCCTGATAGTGACCAACAAATCTAGAGTCGGGCACCACAAGCACCTGATATGTGAAACTCGGCGTGTACGCAAGGAATGAGGATTCACAGCAAAGGAAACGAACAGAACGATGGCGCAAGTGCCTCACGTTTTATTGCTGATATGCCATACTGCCAACCCACTCCCCATGATGTGACCTATTGTCGTCCAGTATGATAAACAAACGCCAGCCAATCGAGATATTGTTTGCGAAATGCTTCATGCCGAGCCTGCATCGAAACCGTGTGATTCTGTGTACCGCCTCTTGCCTGGAGCCATGAACGTAAGCTCCAGAAGCTCCAACGGATGCGCTTGCTCTTGCGGAGATACTCCTGCTCATTGAGTTCTTCCCATTTATCAATCGGACGGTTATATCCATGACCGATAATCATGTCGAGTGTCCTGATGTATTCCTCGAGCCAACGATCGACCGTGTCAAACCGAACCTTGACTTCCTCAAAATCCTCTACCCACTGCTTCCAGAATTTCGCGTCTTGATTGAAATTGATTTTCCTGGCTTCGTCGGATGGTAAGCTAAGGAAGTCTAGAGGATGACTGCCGAAAACATCCTTGTTCAGGCTGGAGGTTGAAACCTGCCAGTCTCTGATTTCGTTGACGCATCTAGCCATCATCTCGGGCAGCAGATGCCACCACTCGTGTCGGTAGTGACAGTTGTAACCATCGCGACTGCTTGGTCTCTCGAGATAATTCAGTTTGTTCAGCAGGAGCTCAGATTTCTCGACCAATAGGGCGTGTTGATCGGCGTATTCGGCTGTCTTTGCGAGAACGGTGTTGATAATTTCTATATCGAGTTGACGTAGATTTTTCAGTATCGCAGGCTGGGCGGTAATGATGTGGCGGGTAACTTTCTGTAGATTGAGGTCTACAAGACTAAGGACAGTGTAAGGACCTTCCTCCTCGTCAACGAAGTCTTTCTCCATCACATGGTGAAAGACATGACGGATGGCAAGCATCGCAGTACAGTTCACGGAGTCCATCAAGCAGGCCATGAGTTCGTCGTACTCAGGCAACCTCGATAGTGTAGCCTCGAAGAACAAACGGCCAGGTATTTCTGCCTCAATTGATGGAGAGGCCCAAAATGAGTACCGGTACTCATCAGTCATGGTACTCGAAGTAAGTATATAAGAGCAGTAGGGGAAAAGTTTGAGTATTCGGTGCAGTAGGTTGATAGAATGGAACTCGCGGCGGGATGAGATGAACGAGAGAACGAAAGTATTTCAAAAGCCAACACCTAGGTAGGCCATGCATACTACCACTCTGTACACCTATGCTCGACCGCTGTGCGCTTCTCATTAGATGGGGTAACACATACCGAGCCCGACAAAGATCATGGAGTGTACCAGTGGCGATACTGTGTGACCCCTGGCCAAAAGGTTACACCCATATCCCTGATAGTGACCAACAATGAAGACTCGAGGACCACAAGCTCTCGACACAAGATACCAGGCGCGTACGCGAAGAATGACGATACAAAGCAACAAATTTATTGGAACGCATCCGGGACTGTCATGTCGTACCGCCGTATTGGCTTAGTCTGACCTGACAGTTCATTATGCGAAGAACTACTTCAGACGTGATATCTTAACTAAATGATTTCCCGAGCTCTTGTCAAGCTGTATGATGTGGTATATTGCCCCGGGTTCACCCTGAATTCTTGAATCTTGACCAAGCACGCAAACAATGTAGACAGCCGGGCAGTAATGTGTCGGTGCAACGAACACGGCCGGAGTCCAATATGTCCGAACTTTCAACCCGAAGAGCAACACTCGCGTGTAGCCTTCAATACTCAAGACTTGGTCGTAACGATAGTAGCTCAAGCTTGATCTCTCCGTATGTTCTTTGACATACATTAACAGAGCCTGACCATGTCTTCCAAGTATCGGCGTCTTGGTCGAAATCAATTTCCATTTGACCGTCCCCTGGGGTTGTGTATAGGCATTCGAGACTCTTGCCGAAGATCCAACCATTCGCGCGTTTAGCGAACTCATGACGCTCCAACAAGAGTTCAATCAATTTGCCTAAAGCCTCACGATGTTGGGGAAATCCTTTCGTCGCTTTTCCTATTTCTCCAAGGCTCAGACATTGTGTGGCCGTCTCACACAGATCGATACATTCTTCAAGATAACTTTTTGCGTGGCGAAACACCTCTTCGATGATTTTCCTATCCATCTCGCGCAATTTCCGTACAGTCTCTGGGGTTTCGGAAAAGGCACGATCCGCGATTCGCTCCAGGCGTATCTCCAGTAGTTGTTCGCGACAGGGGCGATTAGACAGTTGGATCCAAGGCCGATCTTGTAGAACGTTGTACATATAACGGCGGATGATGTACGTGCCATTGAAATTCGAAGTATCGGTCAAGTAGTGTAGGAGTAAGTCGATGTTCGCAGATTGATCATTCTGTGTAGCAAATTTCTGATGGGTTCGAAGCTGGCGTTAGGCCTGATTGCTGCGTGCCGTCCGCCATGAAGATATTTGGGTGATAGAGCTGGGCTTGCGATATTTAATCGAAGGGTCGATGAAGCAAGAAAATGCTGTCAGAAATCACGGCGAGTGGCCATGGATACTGGAAAGAAGTGGTGGAACGATCATGCGGCGAAGACCCAAGTTATATGCCCAAGTCGCGAATGCTTACATGATTGCCTCCGTATCAGGTTCGAGGCGAGCAAAGAGCAGATACCAGCCAACGACAAGGTTGTACGCCCGCCGATTCCCCTGAACACATTCCAGACGGACTGATCGTCAC